TTTTAATTTTTACTCTTTTTATAGTAAAACCTAATCCGTAAATTATTTGTTAAAAATCTACCATTTAAAATTAATTAACTTTCCAATTCATTTTTCCCACTGTGTAGCCTGTCAAAAAGAAAAGCGACAACTTCAAGTTAATTTGTGTAGCTGCTGGAAACCTCTCAAGCTCTTTCGAGCACTATCTCCATTGTAAATTCCGTCTTTCACACCTGTTACACGCAATTATCTCAACCACGGGCCAAGAAGAAACTTCGGGCGGACTGCACTTTGGGCCCTCAGTTCTCAGTCCTCGGTTCCTGTCCCTGCGATAGAGTTTCGTTTCCGTTTCGTGGGGTGGGAAATGAGTTTCGGATTAGAGGACGATCCCCTGTATCACCCCTTCACCAGTCATCAGGCAGTCAAAGCGCAGTGTAAGTAGCTTGGGCTAAGTGCCACCAGCAGCACCACCATCGCCACCCGGGGCTTGGCACCACCAATACTAGTCGTGCACTCAGAGAAATTGGATACTTTTGAAATATAATAGAATAAAATTACTTATAGTCACTGGCATAAACAAGGGTAATAGTAAAATTTCTCTGGAGCTAATTAGAATCCATGGGAAAAAATGTAATCTTTTTGGCTTGGCTTGCTTGCAAAGAAGAATCGACGTGTGCCCAATGCGTGAAGGCAACTTTCAAAAACATTTATAAAATAATCAAGAGAAAACAAATTTTCTATTAATATTGCAAATGATATTTTACTTTAGAATATTAGCTTACAACCGCTTGCCACTAATTTCTCTCCGTGTAGCATTACCCGTTGAGTGGAGCACGCACTGATTGCCAGTGAAATGCATGTGAAATTAACCTCGTGCGCTGCTCGGTTTAATTTGCACTCGATGGCTGGCAGTGGGAGAGCAGAAAAAAAGCGTTGTGCATTGGCGCTGAATGCCAATGGAGATGGGAGTTGGGAGATGGAGGCGACACGCCGGCGTCCCAAATGTAATTTTCCCTTTGCTCATTTGCTGCCTGACTGGCTGATGGCTGACGACCGAGCACTGAGCACTGAGGACGAAGACATGGCCGTGGCCAAGCCAACTGCACCACTCAACCACTCACTGCACCACTCACTCAACCCGTCAGTTGGCCACGCGTCAAGTTGCGTAGTTGCGACGGAAAGTGTTGAGCAAGTTGTCAAATGGTCTGTGATGGCTGATGGAGCAGCGAAAGGCTCTGGTTGACTAATAATTGCGGAAGGGTGGATCACTCTATCGCCGAAGGTCGCTGCGAACCTGTGAATGCATGAAAACTATCTATAGAATTTAAGAAGATTTTACTTTAAATTAAATACCCACATTTATGTATTTTTTAAACAAATAGAAAATCTTGCATTGCTTCCGAATAACTGATTAAAGGCAAATAAAAAGGGGAAAAATTCGGAAAACTTAATCAAGGCCAGTTTTAATTCATTATAAGTTGACAGCGGATTTGAAACGGATTTAACAGCACTCAATTACCAATGCCAACGCATCTGCAAACATTGATAAGCCGCTTAACTGGCCATACTTTTCTCACAATTTATGGCTCCAATGCTCCTGCACAAACACACATAAAAGTGCGGTTCGTTTATAATGAATGCTTAATAAGCATTTGTCGAATACATAAGCAATGTCCATTAAAATTGATTTCATTTGCTATGCAATTTACAATTCATCTTCGTTATAAAACGCAGCCAGGCAGGGAATTTCGCGGCACTTATCCAAACCGAAACGCAACCCAAACCGATGCCCAACCCATCCACAACCCACAAGTGCGGACTCTACATAAACTATTCATTTCAGTTCAATAACAAAGCCGGTGCCAAAGCCCCAAGCAGCGCCCATATGTGTTCATTCCATTGAGTTATTCGCCGCATTAACGAAATCAACATTTAAATTGCAAATTGTGTGTATTTTGATTGAAAAATGCCACGTTGTCGACCCATCCGCGGATCACAGATAAACTGACTGACTGTCTGGCCAAAAGAGGTGGAGAAGGCTATATAACAATGATTCTGGTTGCGTTTGTTTTACTGTACTCGTTGGCAGCTGCTGTCTTCACACATCCACCCGCATGCAATTTGCTGCTCTTTTGTGCAATAAAAATAACCCACAACAACGAAAATTTCATGCGCATTAATGTGCGACATTTGAGAAATGGGAACTGGGCTCTCGAGCTCAGCTTGATTTCCATCGGAATGGTATATTTGTGTTGTTTTCCTTTTTAATACACGGTATTTGTTAGGTACTTAGATATATTGTCTTTCCTAAAAAGGGATAAAATCTTAAAATTTTTAAATTTTTAAATTTTAATATTGATTAAAAGTGAGCAACAATAAATTTAAGTTCGAAACTTTTTAAAGTCTTTTTTAGACACCCTTGTAGCGATCTTTGATTAAATTTCTTTAAGTTAAGATTTTAGCAATGATTAAAACTAAGATTTTTTTAAATTACCTCATAATATTATTAATTATAATATAAGTAGTAGGTGTTCAAAAATTTATAATATTATTGCTAATTAAGTTGATTTAAGTATTTTAGAATCTTTACAAATTTTAAATCACCTTAATTAGTGAATAAAAGTATGCAACAATACAATTTAGTCGGAAATTTTTTAAAGTCTACTTTTAGATACACCTTGTAATTATTTTAATTTCAATATACTAAAGTAAAATATCGGGTATCCCGTGGTCGTATAAATGGAATTCACATTTCCGAATACCGGCAAAGTGCAATAAAAATGCAAAAGCGAATTCGAATTGATTGAACAGAACCGGTCAGAACGCATACTTACATTCAGTCACGCACAATGGTTAACAGCGGGGGGATGGGCAGGGGGCAGGAAAAAGGAAAAGGATAAGGGGACAAGGAACGGGGAAAACGAGAAAATTATTCATTAACACATGCGTAAAATGCAAAAGGAACATTGCCATAAATAAATAATTGATAAATTGCAGATGAATTTTCATATTTAATGATGTTTAAGTGAGTGGCGCCTGGCTGTGGGATGTGCAAATGCCAGTTTTGTTCGCATCTGGGCGTGCAATAATATTATGTTAAAATATACGATTACAATTCGGTCTCCTTTTCTTTTTACGACTCCGGTTGCGTGCGATGGCGCACAAGAGTGCGTATGAAAATTGATTGTTGCTTTATTTATGGCCTCGCACTGGCGAAGTAGACATAAAAAATTAAGACAAACATAAAATGCAATCATGCAGCTCAGTCTGGATAAAAATCTACTAGCTTTAGCTGTTACCCCCCGAAAATAAGTTTTGTCCATTCGCCTGATTTGGTTTTACGTGCGCCGAGAGACTTTGGGGGTCCTGCTCAGTGTTGTCAACAAAATTAAATGGTTTACTGGCAGATCAGCTAATATATTTAAAAAAAAAATAAGAAAAGAAATATTTCACAAGATTTTAAATTAATTTTAATAATATTTACGATTATTAATATATTTTTAAAGTAAAGCTTTAACAAAATATTTCGTATTCCCTCTTCTGCTTTAAAAAATAGCCAACTTGTCAACACTAAACCTGCTTTCGAAAGGCGACATTGAGGTCGCTACATGGCTTCCCGGGTCGTGTAATAAAAAGCCTAAAACTTTGCCTCTAACGAGCATCGTTTTTACGATCCAACTGCTCGACATCGAACCGAGGAAAAAAAATTGTGCTGATGGGGTGAAATGGAAGGAACACTGGTTCCCCTTGGAATCTTTTGAGTTCTCCCACAAGTTAAGCAAAGTAGACGCTTAATGATTTGTTATATGTTTTGTTTTTACATGCCTAAAGAGTTGCACATTAAAGGGGTTAAATTAATGGAAGTTTCACTTAGGGCAAACCGGACAATCGATCATTTTAATCATAATTAATGCCGTCACACATAATTACATAATTGTCTAGAATAATTTACGGATGTCAATGAGTTCAGCGAATAGAAATTCAAGGAATTTAATGGATTTCAAATACATTTTATATTTACTTAATAAAAAAAGTTCATGTCGAAATGAATCTCTTAATTTTCACTTGAATGATTTAGATTTACATTTACAATCTATTCTTATTTCCTAACAAAGTGTTCATGCCCTTCTGTAAAAGTGTAGAGGGTTGATTAAGTTTCAAATTTAGTCAGACACAAAGGAGCTCCATTGTTCCACTCAACTGAGATAATCTTCATCTCCATCCGCAGGCACTTCAGGCTCGTCGAATGCCCAAACCGGCCCTGTAAAATATGTAATTAAACTTAATGAGTGTAAAATGCTCATGTCCTGGGCTCAGACTCAAGCTCATTCCCATTCTCAGTTTTAGGATATGGCTGTGATTTTCGGCAGCAGCAGCTTCGAATCAAATGCTGTCAAGCAAATCAAGTCATTCATTTGTCAATTAGTTGACAATGGGTCAACTGGAGCTTAACTGCTCCTGCAACCCAAGACCTAAAGGCAGATCAGGCAAATGCTGAAGGTAATTGCATTTAAGATTTTGCAAAGTCCGGTCAAGAATTAACTTGGCCTTTGCTTAACTTCAACTCCGAGTGGAGTCACATTTTGTAATTTGGTATCGCTGATGAAATGCATTTCATTAATATTTATTTGCCTGAGGCCCGAAAGCCAAGTCATACACTCTAGCTTAGCAGACGATTTATAAACTGCCGGAGGTCAGTTATTGTGGAAAAATCATAAAACTTAAGTCAGAGCAAAACTCTGTGGAAAATTAAGTTTAATTATGCAATTATGGCAAATTTAAAACACAACGCATTATCATTAATTCGTTTCTTTATTGTTTTTTGTTGTGTGGCTGTACGTGTACGTGCTTTTAATATTTGAACACATTTTCAATTAGTTTTATTTTCTTAAATTAATGTTGGCGAAATAATTTTAATGTCTTTTCATTTGTAGAAAATATTGACCCTAGTCTTCTTTTTGTTTCTTAGCACAAATTAAATACTTGCAAGTTTCGAAAGTACTAAAATATCTTTTAAAATTATGGCTGACTATAGGGCAGTAGTAAAACCGGCAATAACTAGAGAAATGGTGCAAATATTGCCACGTGTAATAGTGGATAGGATAACCCTGCCCGATGTTGTAGAGGATATCATCAAGAAACCTGAAGGAGATGGAAAATCTGAAGCTAAATCCTCTGAAACTGAAACTGAGGCAGAAGAAAATGCAGAGAAAACGGAATCGGAGGCTGAAACTGAAGAAGATGAAGTGGAGTCGGAGGAGACCGAGAAGGGGGACGTTAGGTACGCCTGGAATGCTCCCTGCATGATGGTTCTTTTCGAGGATGGCGATCTCAATTGTGCCCGTCATCATCTCGTCGAATCTCTGCAGGATCCGTTTGCCTTGGATGCGGTGGCCGTGCTTTTGGTACAAGAGAGTCTGGTGGAAGAACTAGAGCGTCGAGTGGTGACTCTGATGAAACCCTTGGATTCCCGGGTGGCCAATCATCCCTGCTATAGGCGCACCCTGCTCAAGATTGCCGAACTGAAACCAAAAACTGTCGTCGGTTCCCCAGATAGTGTATTACCCGATGCCACGCCCATGTTGGTGCGCGATATTCCCCACAAATTCCTGGGCGACGGACCCACCGGCATTATCACGATGCACATTTTTCGCACCCCCTTCGAGGCTACGCGGATTTATCGAAAGGAATATCCCCTGCCCATCGCATCGGTTAGCCTCTGGAATGAACGGGTATCGAGCGTCTACGAAGTGATTGGCATGATGAATGGCCTGGACACCTTTAAGATCAACTGCTTTAGGGTGGAAATGGAGCCCATCAAGCGTGCCTTTGAGCTGCGAAAGTATAGTGCCTGCATGCATCGCGGTTATCACTACGAAACTCTGCAAATTAATGGCGAGCGGAAGATTATCATATTTCCGGTGGGAACTATATTCGGTAACTGAAGTGTAAACTAATAAAGCTGCGAGATAATATTGTTTAAAATGACATGGGAGGTTATTAAAGTCCTTCGCATTTCCAGGAAAATTTCAAATTTAATTTTAAATATATATTCGATATTATCTCTTAATATTCTTTAACTTTTAAGCATTACTTTTAAATCGGAAACCATTTCTTTAAGTGTGTTGTATTTAATATTAGTATATTTCTACCATAAGTTTTTAAAATGTAAATTAGCTCTCAAAACCCTTCAACATATTTACTTTCTACATATTTCACGCACACCTTTTTAACACTCGCCACTTTTTTAATGTAGTTAAAAATTGTATGGTATCCTTAACTATTAGGCAGCCATTCAGTTTTCCAGTATCTAATGCCTGCAATCTAATTCAATGGGCTGGGCGCTTTCAACAACTATTTACACACAGCAAGCCTGTTGAGAACATTCAGATCGCACTTTTCGTTCGCTAATCTAAATTAATGCCTCTTACTGCGAATCAGAATGGGCTGTGCAGCGATGTTTTATCATTCAATTAGAAAAAAAAGGGCGGAAAGGCAACTGAAAACGCGTGCATGGAAAATACGCGAAATAAACCAGAGGATTTTCGCACATTTCCCCCGTCCCGCTCCGTACAGCAAAAAAAAGGAAAAGGGGAGAGCAGTGGAAGCAATTTGCACCACCCTCCGGACGGAATAATGAAGTGTTTAGTTGATTATCTAAACGCACGGCTCCGTATCCGGATCCGGGGAGCACTAGGCGTAGTAGTAGTCCTGGAATTGCTTGGGTTTTTCGGCCGGCGGTTGAGTCAATAATGCGCCAAATAAACAGCTAACAAGTTGGTAATAAAAGAACTCTAAAATTGCCCGAGGTCCGACCGATTCGGTGGAATGCCAGAGCCTAGAACCCAATACCCCGCTTTCCCATCTCATTTATTCACCCACACGCAACTGCAGGTAGTTGGCAGGTAACACACCGAACTGAAAAGTTCCAAACAAAAGCACAGCCATTGCCCATGGAGGATATATAGCCATGGCCATCATATATACATGTACGACCGATGAATTCAGCGGGGGCGTGGCACGCATTGTCTGCAGGTAAGCCTTTTTGCGGTGGTGCCCACTTTTTGGCGCTGAACAACACAACGCAACGCATCGCATTTGCATTGATAACCGAAAATGTTTGGACTTGAAACGAGTTTAGTTTGGCCTGCTTTCGTGTACAAAGACCATATTTCACCGGTAAATCAAACAGACAATGGGCTTCGAGGCCCCGTAGATTGTTTGAGAACAGTTGCGGTCAAATTGGTATAAATAGACGCAGATACTAGGCAGAAATTTAAGAACTTATTTTTGGTGCATACTTTTAGGCAGAACTTAACATTAAGTATACGCCATGGTCATCTGTCAAAAGTGTGGGTTTTTTGTAGCATACTTTTAGACTGAATGAAACATTATGTATACGCCCTGTTAACAGAAGCATTTAGATAATATTTATCTTTGCATACTTTCAGAAGGAATTCAGCATTAAGTATACGCCATGGTTTTAAGTTATTTTATAAGAAATGTTTAATACAATTTAAAGTAAAGCTGTATTTAAATGTTAAATTAAAATAAATCAAATATATATACAGTAATAAATACAAGTAGTTAGAATTAGCATCTAACTAAATTAAATTATAAAATCAGGTAAATGTGTATATTTATTTATTTCGATTTCTTTTAATTATTCAAAAATACAATTATATAATTTTAAAATTACAATACATTTCAGAGGCGGCTGCTACCTCCATCACCTCAATTGTTAGCCAGGTAAAAGGAGGCGTATGCGTAAAGCCTTTGGTTCTCAGCTCACCACGATGTTTACTGGATGTCTTAATTAAATTTGATTAGCTGTATGCGCAAATTAGTTAGTTTTGCATGGGAATTGATGAGCGTGATGAGTTTGCCGACTAATTGGCTAATTGATTGATTGTTGGAGTGGTTGTTGCGTTGCGCTGCCGTTCAGCTCCTCAGAACGGGCCGCCCCAGAATGTTTGCCTAATTGCGCTTCAAATGCATTCGCTCGTTCCGAAGTTGGTGTATTCTTTGTGTGCATTCACTAATGAAAATCGAATGATAGCCCCGAAAGCCCCACCGAAACCACCAGTCCAGCAGTCCATCAAAAATGTATTAGCCAAGTCCATGGATTGCTGCTTTTGCTTCTGCTGCTTCTCCTTCTCCTTATCCTCCCACTGCCACTACTGTTTGTTTTTAAATATTTTCTGTAACGCAGATTCCTTAGCTCGGGCAGCGCCTGCATAATACATATCGGAATAACCTTGGTCCGAAATTCGCCAAAAGAATAACTGCGCATTGTTTGCTAAGGAACAACTTTGCTTTCTGCCTTGGCATGGTTAGTAGTTGTTGTTCTTGGCTGTCAGAGTTTCCCGGGGGATGGAGATGCAGTTTTCCGGGCGGTGGGCGAAAGTGCTAAAGTTTCCACAGCGCGCATGAAATTTCCACTTTAGTTGTGTTGCGTAGTAAATTTTTGTTTTCGCTTTTTGTTTCTTATTTTATTTTATTTTTATTTTTTTGTTGTGTTGTTTTCCCCCCCATCTCGAGATTTTCACCCTTCGCTCTCGGCGCGCGTGCTTATTTCAAGTAGTTGAAATTATTTTATAGTATAAAACTTTAGTTTTTTAACTTTGCCCGGTGCTCTCCGTGTTGTTTTGTTTTGCGCTGGGCGAAAGCCCTTCGTCCATTTGGCGTCCGCACGCGCTTTTTGTTTTAGCATATTTATATTTTAATAAGCGTTCTGGCAGCTGCGCTCCACCGCCTCTTATTCTGACCCCCCTCCTGCCCTCCTCCCCGCCAATGTCCTGCGTAATTTTACTGCAATTTCTGACAGTTTTAGAAATCTTCGCGAGCAGAACTTATGAACCCAAATGCGCCTGTCAGTGGCAAATGGCAAACTCAGCCCGGCTAGCTGCCTGCCTGGCTGGCTGGCGGGCAACGTGGCGTATGATTGTTATTAATTTCATATTATGTGTAAGCACCACTGCCACATCCTTTGTTGCCCTCGCTTTACCTCGCCCGTTTCGCAATAAGCAATAAGCGTCAGCCGGAATGATATTTAATGTCAGGAGGCCGAAGAAGTGAGAGGATGAGGATGAGAATGAGATGGAGGCATCTCGCATCGAGAGGATGACTTCGAGGTGCAGTTCAAGTGGCTCCTTGGAGCACGAAAGTGTTGAGATTGCCAGAAGTGTTTGAGCATCCCATTTGCATAAAGTGCGGTTAATCTCGTGGATGTCGAAGGGTAAGTGAAAAATTAACAATGCACAGTAAAAAAGAAATGAGAACAAAGTGGCTGCAATGTCAGGTAGAATGAGAAATAATTGAATTTGATTTTTGATGAATTACTAACCATTATATAAAATAAATCTGAAGAAATCGGTGCCGCAGAAATAGCTGGGTTTTTTAAATCTATTTTAAATATCAATATAAGTGTCTAAAAATATGCTACAAAATTTTTTTAATCCAAAACTTCTATGAATTCATTCAGAAAGACGACTGCCTTTTATTTTCGGCATACTTTTAGACACAGATTTTGACATAATGATTGGAAATGTTATTTTATGGTTTCTTAATATTATTATACTGACAATGACACCTTTTTATAAGCTTCAATTTGCGAATATTATTTCATTATCGGAGGATCAAAAAAATCGATACATTTTTAATCAACTCCCTTCGATTACTTTGATTGACTTTGGCTCGTATGTGTTTCCTGCAGTGCAACCTCCTCTTGATTAAATTAAAATTCAATTAAGGCTTTTGTTTAGTTGGGCGCAGTGAACGTTTAATAGGAAAATCCATCACAAACATGCATCAATGGCTCATTGTTGTTGCTCCCGCCGCAATTGTTAACCATTTTCACTTCAATACAATGTGACATGGTCCTCGTGATTGAGTTTATGTGTGTGCGTGTGTGTGAGCCATTTGTTTATGACAGTATAGATGCGTGTGTGTGTTTGTATGTGGGCGATAGCATTGTGTTTGTAACAAAATATAATCATAAACGTAATTTAATCGCGCCAAACCGCGTCTGTCACGTACTTGCCAGCCACAGACACAGATACAGATACATAGATACAAATACAAAGACACATTATTGACGCAAACACCCATACATATAGAGATACACACGCACACACCAACACGTTTGGCAGCGTTGACAACAGAAACTGTTATAATAATTCAATTCAATTCAGCCAGCCATTCCGTAATAATGTCGATTCAATGTTGTAAATACGTTGCGAATCGTTTGCGACTTGCCAAATCTAATGATCACCTGTTTGCCACCCCCTTTCACACACTCTCCCCCATTTATTTTCTATGTGTGTTTGGTAGAGAATTGATTTTGCTATCCAAGCACGTCATGTTCTATGGGTATCCGTAAGCTCACCAAAACTATTTTCTATTGAATTAAATTGTTATCATTACAAATGGCAGGCCAAATGAGATTTGTATTTCGGCTGTTACAATGTTTGCAGAGCGAGTAAAACGATTGTTCAAACAATGTAATTAGCTAATGTTGGCAAATCAATCTGTTTGAGGAAAATGTAAGTTAATTTAAGTCGCTACAAGTAAAGAACATCATTTAGGTTTTGCCTTTACAAAAGTGATTATTCAATTTTTTTCTCGATTACGAAAATAATGTAATATTTAGCAAATGCTTTTGAAAAAGATAGTTATTATTATCGAGTTAAATTGATTGTAAATTGTAAATTTACTTTATTGTTCTTCGGTTAAGAGCTCTTACAACTCATTAGTTTAAAATTAAGTAAAATCCAATTAAACAATCATGTTTTTCTATTAAATTATAAACTACTCAACATGATTGCTCATCAAATTAAATTACATTTAAAAAAGTTCATAAAGAGGATTTCTGTTTGCAAAAATTATTAATAATGCTGTACAATTTACTCCTAACCTGAACGAACTTTAATAACTGTGGAAAACCCTTCGCATGCACTATTGCAACCTGATTTCCGCCATT